TAAATGCTTAAAGAATTTAGTCATGAATGAGAAACAAATTCTCGGCGTTGCTGGTAGCAGTAATAATGTACACCTTATGACATTAGAATATTATAACGAACATAAAGATGAACTGAAAGGAGAGAAGGGTGACACCGGACCTCAAGGAATACAAGGACCTCAAGGCGAAAACGGTTTGGATGGTGAAGATGGAAAGGATGGAAAAACTGCTAAATCATGGATATGGAACCTTATAATATACTGGTTTAACAGCTGCTTCATATGGAGTTCTTCAATACAAATCGGAAAGATATGGGCAGTACTTGGTGAAGAAGCTTTAGATGACGTTAAAAATGCTTTGAACTTCATTTCAAATGGTTCGGATACTATTAAAACTTTATCTGGTTGGATGCAAGAAACAAGGAGTCAAATAGATACTGTAAGACGTATAGCAACAATGCACGTACGGGATTGGATACTTTACGAGAAGCACAAAATACACTAAAGGAAGCAAATGATATTCTTGGCTCAGTATCAGACATGCATGAAGATTGGCTTAAAGGTATTGACAAATCTTTAAAAAATCACAGTCAGTCTATTGCTGACTACAAGAAAAGTATAGATTTTTTACATAGTGCTATGGACGTACATGATGGAAGCATAAGGAACTTACTTAATGCTAACAATAACTTACCAGGAACGATTAAAGCATTTATAAAGTCCTTTGTAAAACCTGGTGCTCTAACATTTAGGTCTTTGATCGCAAGAGCATTGAAATCAAGAGATGCAGAAACTCCAACAGAACCTACAGAAGGAACTGAAACAACAGAAACTCCAGAAGAACCACCAAAACCAACAGCTAATGAAATATTGTTCGAATATTTTCCAAGGTACTCTGTTCTCATTGCATACATTCAAGAAATACTTAAGAAAGCAGACTTGACTTTAGGAGATGATGAAAGTTCTGTATATCTTTCGTTCCAGTTCCAAATAGCAGAACTTTTGAGACAGATATGCTTAATGTATGACAACATCTCTGATTTCACAAGATATGATGACGACCATGACCCCGAACACGGTGAAGAAGAAGTTTTACAAACATCCATTAAGACAGGAAAAGTTTTAACACAAAGTCTCATTATTGACACCGAAGATGGTGAAGTGGATGTTCTTCAAGAGCTGAAGAAAAATACTTCTGAAGGGGGTAGTGGTAGGCATGAACTTGAAATAAATGAGATAGAAGAGAAATTAGCCGAAAAAGCAGACAAGAACCATGTTCATTATATAAGTTCAGATGAACAGATTATAACGGACTACCATGGATATTTAACACAGGATGAAAGAGTGAAGACGAAAGATGTTAATGAAAGAAGATATAAATTCATTCGTGCTGAAGGTTATGACATACATTGTACTGTACAGTATGACACAGGTAAAGCACCAGAAGCATTTGGTTATAACAATGAAATTTATGCTTCATACTTCTTTGTTAACGGTGTATTAGTTGAACCAAGATTTACATTGAGAATAAGTAGAAAAATAACCGTTGAAGATGCTATTAAAAGTAAAGCTGACAAAGATGAACTTGACGCAATGAACAAAGTTTTGAAATCTCATAAACACAATATCTCCGATATAAATGAACTTCAAGCTACATTAAATAGTAAAGCTGACAAGAACCATACACATGAATCCTTCACTACTGTTAGAGCAGACAACATAATATTGAACTATACCTTAGGTTCAAATGCACCATTAGAAAATCCAAGTACAAGCGTAAAAGATACACTAAACTCCTTAAATAACAAATGTACGAATATCGAAGGTCATGTCAGAAACTTTGAAACACATGAACTACCAGCAATGTTAGATAAGAAAGCAGACAAAACTTATGTGGATGAAGAACTTGAAAAGAAAGCAAGCAGAGATGAACTTAGTTCGTATACTAGAGCAGAAGATATAGCAATAATTCAGAAAAGTATTGACAAAAAGGCTGACAAAACAGAGCTTCAAACATTAAAGACTGAAATATTGCAAGCTATATATCCTGTTGGTTCTTTATATACGTCAATGAATTCAACAAATCCAGCAAGTGTTTTAGGTTTTGGTTCTTGGGAGCAGATTGTAGACAAATTCTTATACTGTGCTAATAGTTCAAAACAAACCGGTGGTTCAAAGAAAATTTTAGAAGCAAGCCTTCCACCACATAAGCACACAGGAACTACAAACTTTTCTGGCGACCATATCCACTCATTAAGAGACCACCCATTATACAACTCAGACTATGAAGCCGGTCATGAAGTTTTATCTCCATCTTATAACAATTCAGCAAAAAAGACTTTTCGACCAACTGAACCAGGAGGAAATCATTCACACACTTTCACAACAAATCCAACAGGTTCGGGTGAAGATTATATGCCACCTTATATGACAGTTTATGCATGGTACCGCGTTCAATGAAATCTTTAACTTTACATAAATGAGCTTGAAAGAAGTATTCGAACAACATCCATGGAGGTCATTTAAGAAGTTCAATGAAGCTGCAAAGAGTTGGGGATTTACTAACAGAGCTGAAGTTAAAAAGTTCTTTGACAAAAATGTTGTACATCAAACAAAAATAAACCCTTACGACTACTTTTTACCAATTTACTCCAACACTCCTGACGCATACCAATTTGACACTCTCATTCAAAGCAGAAAAGGAGGACATAAACCATTCCTCATCTTCATTAATGTTAACACTCGTAAAGCATATGCATATCCAATGAAAAATAAAGGAACTCGTGAAGTGTTAAGAGTTTTACAAAAGTTTGTAGCAGAACATAACCCAAGTACTTTAACATCAGACCAAGACAGTACTTACCTCAGCAACGAAATCACAGAATTTCTCATTAAGCATAACATAACTCACTACACTACTGAAGACCATAACCATAACATACTCGGTATCATTAACCGCTTCATAAGAACGCTCAGAGATTTAAACCAAGAGCGAGACTTTACCGAAGAAACAATGAAACACTTTCTCGAAGTATATAATTCCTCAACGCATTCTACAACAGGACATACACCAAATTCAATGACACAACAACAAGAAGAAAAGTATATACAAAAGAAACGAAGTCAAACACAAAATATCAGAAATTCAACACAATTTACCCTCATTCCTGGTACAAAAGTTCATGTAGTTCTTGACGACAAACCGTTGACAAAGAAACGTTTAAGGTTAAGTCGAAATTATTATATCGTAGACTCTACGCAAGGTAATGGATATCTTATAAAAGCTGCTGACGACTCCATTGCATTTTACCCTCGACATAAATTAGTTGAAAGTAGTAATGGCAAACTTGCTGAAACCATTGACGAAGCAAAGCGAGGAGTGGTTATTGAAATACTTGGCTATAACATAAACGATGACACTTATAAAGTAAGATATGAAGGAGGCGTTGAAGATGTTATACCATCTAAGAACTTGAGAGAGTCAAAGCCAACACATCTGGGACCATTAGAGCGGGAATATTGGAAAGACAAAAATATGTCAGAAAGAATAAGAAAGTTCTTCTAAACTTTTTCGTTGGATGTAAATCAGACATGAACGAGAACAGTCATGATATCATTAATGGTACCATTTATTTTTATTGAATTCACCAAAAAATATAATTTAGGTGAAGTGGTGAGATTTCACCTAATTTTTCACCTGTTTTTTCACCCTCGTGAATTTTCATGAATTTCCTTAAGATAGAAAAATAACGCTAATTTTTTTCTAACAAAATTTTTTATCTTGTATGTAAGAAACAGAAATGTCAGTCGAAGCAAAAACATTCACGAACAAATCTAATGGCGAAACATTCACAAAAGGCACTTATAACGGTATTGAAGTCTTACGTAGAGACAAGGATGGTTACATTAATGCAACAAAGATGTGTCAGCAGTTTAGGAAAGACATTAGAAAGTTGTTGGAAAATAAGTCCTGGGAAGAGTATTATAAGGCATTTTGTGAAGAATATAGCAACCGCCGGAATTCGGACTGTTGCTTTTTATACAAAATTCATGCAGGAATTCCTGATGAAATCAAACAGGTTAGAGGAACGTATGTAGACCCAAGACTTATAAACTATATAGCAATGTGGGCTTCTCCAAAATATTGCATAGCAGTTGGAAAAATTATGGACTCCATAGACAAGAAAGTTCATGAGAAATTAGATGAAGAAGAACTTGAAGATACAGTAGAGAATGCTAAACCTTTGTTCGAACAAGAAGTTAGAAAAATGCGCGAAAAACAATTAGAACATGAACGTGAGATATGTTATGGTTATAGAGATTCCCCATACGAACTAGACCAATGGGAACAAGAAGATTTAAAGAGAGAATTTAGAGAATATGAACTCGCTAAGATAGCATTAGAAGCTGCAGAAAAGAAGTTAAAAGCTTGGGGTCGTTTTGTACAAAAATATTGTGAGTAAATGAACCATTTATTTTTATTGAATTCACCAAAAAAATAAAGTTTAGGTGAAGAGGTGAGATTTCACCTAATTTTTCACCTCTTTTTTCACCCTCATGAATTTTCATGAATTTCCTTAAGATAGAAAAATAAGGTTAGTTTTATTTTTATTTATTTTTTTATTTTGTATAAAAGATATGATTTCAACAATCGGCACAACAACAATTCAAACAACAACAGCACCAAATTCATTAGTCATGAATCCTACGTCAATGTTAGTAGAGATGAAAAACTTCATTCCTTCTTCATTTACTTTCGAAACAGAAATACAAAGAATAAAGCAAGAACTTTTAACAAGTAATTTAGACTGTACCGCACAGGATGAAGAAAATGAAGAATATCTTTATGACATGCAGGACATTATTGACCATTTACCAAATTGCCTGAAATCCAACAACAAAAGCTCACTATTCATGAATTCGATGAAATAGAAGTGAAACCAACTGACTCAGTAGAAATAAAGAAGTTCATACGAAAGGTAAATTATGAGTTTCTAGGATATCATTGCAACCATAAAATTATGGACAAAGATTGCGACATGGTTTATAAGAACATCTCTGACATATATAAATCGGAGGAGTTTAAGACATACGACAACTTTGTTTCATTAGTTGCAAAATGTGTATGGCAGATAAGAGATAAAGACAGAAGAGGTAAGGTATGGCATGAACAGATAAAACCAACTGCTTCAGATTTAAAGAAAACCATTGACGACTTAGTTGTTTTAGCAGGTAAGGTTTCAGAATATAACGCAAAAATGAATCCGCAATGTTCTAAATGTAAAGCAGCAATGAGGAAATATAACTACTCCGTCAAAGAGATAGAAAGAATGAGAAACGACTATGCAGATTTAAAGAAAGAAGCAGAAAAACCAGCAGAAAATAAAATGGACATGTTAGCATTTCTGAACAAAAACTATCCAACTGCTGACGATTTCCTTCACTCTGACGTCAAGAAGTATAAAGAAACCTTCGGCATTGTTAAAACTTTTGATGTACTAAAAGAAGAAATTGAAGCTACGAAGCTGTTTAGGATTTCAAATATACATCGTACAATTCATGTGAAACGTTTATAAAATAACTGGGGTAGAAATTAGGTGAAAAATTAGGTGAAATCTCACCTCTTCACCTAAAATATATTTTTATTGAATTCAGCAACAAAAATAATGAATTTCTTTAAGACAGAAAAAATAAAGTTAGAATTTTTTTTATTTATTTTTTTATCCTGTATATAAGAAACAGAAATGTCAACATCAGAGAACACAACAATTGCTATCGTTCATGAAGCCATAAATGAAGAATACGAATACATACAATATAACAAACAGTTACGTCTCATTCGTTCGGTCAAAGACGACATGTATCAAATGCAAAGTATAATAAATGCTCTTCGTTCTACAAAGCAAGCATATCATTGGTTTGAAAACCAACAGACAAAAGAACTTTTAGAAGAATTTCCTCATATGATTGCTTCCCTCGGAAAACCGGGGGAAGAGATTCCGTACGAAAATCGCAAGAATTTGGCACCTGGTTTGAAAGGTTATTATATTCATAGACTTTTAGTAAACGCTGTAGCAATGTGGGCTTCACCTCGTTATGCTTGTTATATTTTCATGATGTTAGATGAACTATATAAAGCAGAACGTGAAGAAATGGAAAAAAAACTTCAAGCAAAAGATGAAGTCATTGAATCCAAAGACAAAAGCATACAGAAAAGAATACCGCGTTCAGTACCAAAAGGAAAGGAAAAGAGTTATAAGTATATGATTTATACTGAAGATATGGAAGATAAAGATATGGTTATGTTGCATTTAGTCAGAAGAAACAACAAGAGCTTTTATGACCTCGCTAAGATATATAAATCTGACAGAAACTGGTTCTATCGTGAAAACTTACCGATTTCAATGACACCGAATGAGCAAATAAAGGAAGTTGTCAAAAATACTCTTCCTCAAACACACTATGACATCAAAGGTTGCACAATACTTACATTCAAAGAAGACTTACCGCTACTGAAAGAAAAGATAACAGAATATTTCGACAACTTCAAAGAGGAAGAATGAAAATCTACGCTAATTTTATTTTTTATAAAATTTTATCTCATATGAAAGAACATGAATTTAGAATATTCGGAACTCATGACAGAAGAAGAGAACGAACAACATGTAAAAGATTATGCAAAATTTCTGAAGACATACAAAGCATTTAAACAATATCTAAATGCTTCTAAAGATTATGCAAAATTCCTAAAGGTATATAAAGCTTATGAAAAAACGTATGAAAAGTTTATACATTGGGGAATTGTTGTAAAATATCGATATGAAGACTAACCAAAAATATATTTTTGCTTAAATAACGTCAGGGTCTATTTCTTCAACCATTTCCGTTCCTTCGTCAATGTCAATAGAAGCTTCTTCAACCTTTGGTAAGAATTTCTGTATAACATCTTTGTTCGTTATTGTCTTCAGAGATGAAGGATAATATTTCACAGATGTTTCACCCTTCTTATATTCTTTCTGTTCGGAAAGATTCATAGCAATACTGAAGAAGTCAACGTTAGAGTTCTTTATAACAGTATAGTGTGTATCTTTGACATTCACGAAGAAACTCTTTTGTTTCAAAACTACTGCTAACTCTTGTGAAGTATAACGTTTGCGGTCAATGACGATAGCTAATGGTCTGACATACTGACCAAACTTAGATTCTTTCACAAACTTCTTGTTAAAGATAACATTAACATTTGCAGCATTACTGAACTCATTCTTGATGGAAGTAGCGAGAGCATTGTATGAAAAGAACTTGCAATCTTGCATGTGTTTCATTAAAATAAAAATATTAAATTATTTTGAAAAATAACTTAAAAAAAATCTAATCTAATTTTTTCAAAAAATATTTTTTATTTCCTACTAAAGATGTATCGGAAGTTGTCTAAGTTAGAACACTCGGAAATAAAACAACTTCTAACAGAAGCTAACATAGATGTTGCAAAACATTACGCGACAAACAAAAAGGCACTCGCTGACTTCATTAAAGACTACAATGGTGCAGTTACTTATGATAGAATTCATGAGTTCATAAAGCCGCAACGCGGCGAGGACGAAGTCCATGCAAGAACTTTTCCTTTAAATGACGTTGCTATTGACTTATATCATAGACGTTCAGTACCACATGAAGTAAGAAGAGAAATGTTTGACATAACAAATGCAAACGTTGGTCATACTCGTAAAGCTCTTTCACATGATGTTCGTCAAGAAATGTTTGACATAACGAACTCAAACGTTGGTGAAACAAGAAGAAGAGACGACACACTGAAACAACAGAGAAGAGAGATGTTTAAAAGTGCTATAAAACAAGTTCGCAAAGCTAACGATGTCATTCGTTCCATTGACGACAAACCAAAAGAAGGTGAGAGATGGTTAAAGAAAGATGAAGAGAATAGGAAGAGAAATGTGAAGTCAGGCAATAGACTCATTGACTTTAACATCGAAGCTTTAGATGAACCAAACAGAGACTACTTACACAAACATTTCGGTAAGGTTTTCATGAGACTCTTAGAGAAGATTAAAATAAACTCACAACAGAGATGGATGGTATGTTATAAACTTGGTGGAAAGTATGAATGTTCTACGTTAAACTTCAATAATATTGGAACATTACTACATCAGCTCTTGAAGGAGAACTTTATATCAGAGATAGAAGCAAATGCCGCAGGTATTGTTGAAATGCACTATGACTTCTTCTTGACAAACATAAAGAATCTTACCGAAATAAAGATGTATGATTTAACTGAATATAAAGGCTTAACGATGTCAGATGTAAAGAAAGGAAAGCCACAGAAGCGACCATATAGAGATGAAAGCACACTGACAGAAAGACAGAAAAGATTATTGAACAGACTTAAACAAACAGGAGATAAACAAGATATAGATGACTTCTGGAATGAAATCCTTGGTGAAAAGAAGTTTTATAAGAAGAGAAGCGGTCAGTTCTGGAAGTATCTTTGCACATTACCTATAAATCTTGAACGTTACCAAATCTTCAATGAACTGAACAAAAGAACTACAGCACTTATGACAGAAGACAATTGTTTCGTTTATGCTTGCATTCAGGCTGGAGTAAATGAAGAAACTATTGACCACATGAGAGAAGTCATTCGTGTTAGAGACTTTCCTCAAAGTAAAGTACAAGAAATTTCTGACGCAACAGGTATAGCATTTAATGTTACCATTGGTTATTTCAATGACTCCAAAGATAACAGAATAATTCACTACATACCAAAAGAATGTGAAACTGCTCGAACTATTGACTTACTTCTTGTTGAAGACCACTACATGCTAAATGAAAGATTACCAATGACAACATACTTCTTCAGAAATTACAGAGCAATCTTGAAGGAGTGTGGTGGAATGAACATTGAGAAACAGATGAAGATTTATACAACGAGAGAGAACAAATATGTAGTTCGTTATGATAGAACAACACCGTTATGGGATGTTATGAAAACATTGTGGGAGTGCAAATATTTCGAACCTATTTCTTATGGAGAACTTTTCACATATACGACTGACTTATATAAACAGAACCTTGCACCATTTAAAGATTTGACATATGCTCCAAAGTATTGTGTACAACTGAAGAAGAAAGCAGAGTCAAAAGAAGTAAATAAAAATAAGTGCAAGTTCATTCCTGAGCATATTTTCTTTGCTGACTTTGAGTGTAGCACAGACGGCTTTCATAAAGCCTTTAACATCTGTTATGACAGTGAAGATGGTTCAGTGAGTGAAAGCATTTGGGGTCAGAACTGTGCAACAGAATTTTTGGAAAGACTTCCTGACAAGAGTTTAATATATTTCCATAACCTCAGTTATGACATAAACTTTATCTTAAGACACATGACAGAAGTGAAAGGAACTCCCATCATTAAAGGTTCACGAACAATGCAAATAACTGGTTTATATAAAGGACGGGCAATTATTATAAAAGACTCTTACAGTGTTATAAATAAGAAGCTTAAACTATTACGATGGAAACAGAGATATTAGAATAAGAGATGAAGTAAAGAAGTTGTTTGAGTTAAGGTTAAAGTATAAGAAAGAAGGAAATCCTTTGCAAGAAAATATAAAGCTCATTCTGAACAGTATTTATGGCAAAACTATTCTATCTCCTATTGAGTCAAAAATAACCATAGTAAATGACAAAGATGCTATAAGATATGCCATCAGAAACTACAACCATATAGTGAAGTTCGAAGGTTTGGATGGTTCAGATAAAACTATTTTCAAGCTAACGAAAAGCATTTGCAGACACTTTAACTTCTGTCCACTTGGTGTTAACATTCTGTCTATGTCGAAGAGAATAATGTGTGAAGTATTCTGTACTGCTGAGGACTTAGGAATGGACATCTTTTATAGCGATACGGACAGTATGCATCTCTACAATGAAGATATCCCTCGTTTAGCTGAAGAATTTGAGAAACGTTATGGAAGAGTTCTCATTGGTAAAAACCTTGGTCAGTTTCATTCTGACTTCGCAGAAATAACACCTGGAAAACAAAGTTTAGCATACGAGTCAATATTTTGTGGAAAGAAGACTTACATAGACTTACTCACAAACGATTTGAATGAAGTTGCATTTCACTGCAGAATGAAAGGCGTGAAGCAAGATGTTATTGCTTTAACCGCTAATGAAATGTTTCCTGACTCTGTTCAGTGTTTCTATGATGAAGATAAAGGTTTAATGGTTCCGCAAGGAAAATATGACAAAGATAGTAAATTCAGTGTCATGAAACTTTATAAAGCACTTTATGACGGTCAAGAGATTGCATTCGACTTGTGTAAGTCTTCTAGTCCTTGCTTTGCTGAAAAGTTCAACTTCTCAATAACGACTAAAACAAGCTTTATTCGTAAGTTGAAGTTCTGAGGTCATTTATTTTTGTCAGCAATGAGGTCATTCGTGATAAAAATAAGCCGCTAGCGGCAAGGGCGAAGCCCATGTGGTCATTTACAATACAGCTATTGTAGAATTTAAGAGTTGTGCTTCAATGTAGAGACAATCTTTCCCATCTGGAGGTAGCAAA